TTTTGTGCTCTACCAGTTTTGCAACTTCCTACCTGGATCTGAAAACTCCCACAAAGACACTTTAGTTCATGGAAGGCTGCCAAATTATAGTAGCAGTGGAGGATATCCGTAGGGAACCTCTTATTTAGCTATCTTACTGATGTTACTCCACTATCGCTTATTCTTATTTCTTTTCTTAAATTTCAGATTGCTACGAGGGCACAAATGTTTAGGTTACATTGTTTTCATTTCTAAGGTAAAGTTCAAGTTGTAGTTGAGCCTTTCACCTGGGGGCGTGCTGAACACCCTCACGTTGTGCACATTAGGTGAGATCCTGCCAATCGCCCTCCCTCCTCCCCTCTCCTCTGTGTTCCTTTTGTTAGACTATATTTGTGTTTTTCTTTTGTGTGGGCTTGTAGTTGTTTATATACTGGTTTCATATTTGTATTGAGTGCATTGCTAAGAAGACTGTGTTTCAACTCTATCCAGGTAAACAGAAAAGATAGAAAGTCTCCCTCTTTTTCTTATGGCTGCATTTATTATTTCTTAATACAGTTACTTGTTGGAAGAATCCTACTGCTCCATAGGAAAGCCATCCACCTAGGCAACATATTTTTCTGAATAGGCAGGTTGGAAAGCTTTTCCTAGGGTATTAGTATAGGAGGAGTGACGTGTCTGATAGATGTGAGCAACCTTCTGTCAATAAATGGACATAGCTGTAGCACTGCTCATCAATTAAATCAGCAGGAATAATCAACTTAGGTAGTGGGAGAAGGCAGATGGAGGGACAGATAGCTGCCCTATTACAGAGGGTGATAGAAGAGGATATTAGTCTCCAGTTCCATCTTTGTACTTTCTCATTATGAGATGGGCAACTCTCTACTTCCACTGCTGTGATGGAAAAGGATAAGACTGAGTTGTTTATGTGCTTGGCCCTTCAATGTCAGCTTCTGGGACTGAGGAAGGGGGAGGCAGGGAGACGACATTTTCAGAGTCTGCTGTCAGGGCTTTAAAATTGGGGTTGGCTTTAGAGAATCAAGAAATATTCTGTTATTATATGCAGAATTTTGTACATATAGATTTTTCTAGGTAAGGAAGAAGTCCATGGCATTTATCAGATTCTCAAATGGGTCTCTAATGCAAAAGAGTAGTATACCCCACCTAACAGGAGCCAATAGATTTATGTTGCTGCTTTGTAGGAGCAAAATTTGAGGTTATGTTTCAGGATACCCACTTAGGCAAGAGATTTTTCTATATATGCAAGGTGGAAAGCTTTTTCTCCATTTTCCATCAGGATGGTCTGGGGTTGATGAAGACAAAGGAAAGATCTATTTTATCGCCCTCTCCCCATGCAATGCATAAACCTGCCTTTCCACTCTTCATTGATGCCTACTCTTTACCACCATTGCTAATATCTCTTAATACACCTGTCCACCTTCACAGAACATTCCTATCCAATACTATCCTCCCCAACAGCCATGCCCAGTCATAAACATAGTGCAATTAATTAGAAGTCTTCTCCCGAGGGCAGGAATCATTCCTACATTTGTACAAATGTCAGTGTCTTACAGGATGTTTGTTAATGCTCAATAATTGTTAAAGTCAAATGAATTTAATTGGGTTGGCTACTTGGGTGGGTGAGGCAAGATTCATAATATTTCTATGAGAAGTAATACTCCTTACTATTTAAAATGAAACTTTGAGGACTGCTTTCAGTTAATTTCTCTAATTATGAAAAGCCAAAGAGAATTATCCTTGGATACTTTTAAAGAAGAAAGATATAGTAATTTGCAAAGGGCATGGATTCTTCAAAGACTTTCCTCCCCAAACATTATGAAGTATGCGTTAGAGTTAACAACTTAGAAAACTATGAAATGAACAGAACTCATCTAATTTCAGTGCAGCAATTATAGCTTTTTGAGACTACATGAAAAAAACCAGAATGTGGTTACTATAGCAGTAAATTGGTCTCTAAGAAACTCTTTTATTTTCTCAAGGAAAAAAATAAATTTCTATAATAGAGTAACCAAATGATAAGGAAAATAATCCACAAAGAAATACAAAGGTATCTGGAAACAACAAATGATCCGTTAGCAATACTGCAATGCAGGAAAAAAGAACAAAATCAGAGCAAGCAAATGGATGCCAGTTTTTAAAGAGAGAATTTTATAATGTTATTAAAATTATGAGTGTTTTCCCAAGTTTCCTTAGTGGCTATGAAAATGGGATATTTTTTATTATACAAGGAAGGAGTTAATCTTGTGTAAGATACAGACATTAAAACACATGTCAGCTGAGGAGCCCAGTAAAAAGGAGATTATTTTTCAAGACCTAATGTTTAGGCTAGTACACATTATGGGAGTTAGATGACTAAACTTATGAGAAAGCATAGGAAAATTTTCCAATGCAGGATCATTTTCATTAGTGAGAAAGAGATTATTTCAAAATTCGGGTTTAATGAGAGTGAAAAGGTTTCAATCCATTTAAAACACCACAATCTCTTTATCAAGCATGTGGGAGTAATGCAGCGAAATTCTCTATGTATAGGATGTAGAGTTTTTGTCTAAAGATGGCATAATCAAATGTAATTGGTTACCTTGATAGCCCTTAAAACAGTGGTTATGGGTATTAAACGTTTTCTAAAAAGGGCCAGTATTTGTGACTTTGTCAGCTAGACAGTTTTGGTTGCAACTACTCAACTTTGCTATTGTAGCAGAAAAGCAGATATAGACAATATGCAAATATTTACTTTAATAAATATTTATGGATACTGAAATTTGAATTTCATGTGATTTTCACATATCACAATATGTCTTATTTATTTCTTTCAACTCTTTAGAAATGATACAAAAAAAAACCTTTCTTAGCTGACACGCTTTGCAAAAAACCCGTGGCAAGTTGGATTCGGACTTCACGCTGTTGCTTGCCACCCCCACTTTTAACTGGCTCATTTATTCTGTGACATACAAAGTTCTAGAGAGAGTGCTTTGTTTACAGAGATGCCATTTTCTTCCACAATGTATTAAATCAGAAGGGAAAAAAGAAACCTTTCTTGGAAATTTTTTCAAAATGCCCCTGGAAGGATTGCTGGGAAATGATCCCACTTTTAAATAGCCTTTTCTCTGTCTCTGTCCTGCAGCGGGCCATTCAGTCACTGCAAACCCAAACACAGATATTTTCTTTCTCCTATCTTCCTCCAGGCACAGAAATCAATAGGACTGATCACAGAGGTGTGTGCCTAGGGGAAAACAAAATATTCGCAGGACTTCTGCCATCAGGTCCCAACACGGCACTCCAGGATGCAAGCTGATATAAAACTCAGACCCTGCCCAGATGAGGTATGTCCTTGCTGACATTCACACATATTTTGATTCCAAATGGTAAAATACAGAACAGAGTCTTTCCCTATTCTTGCATTCCTGGTCCACAGAAAGATCAGAAGTGTTCCCAGGTCTTGTTCCTGATACATGGCAAATATGACACAAGTCTCGGCCTGCTGATTGTTGAGACTTTCCTTGGGAAATTTGGAGGCCCCTCAGGTATGACTTTGCCAGCTAGCTTGGAAGGCTCCATTATTTTAGGCGCAGACTAGAGTAGAGTGACTGTCTTGGTCCATTTGGATTGCTGTAACAAAGGACCTTGCATTGACTAGCTAATAGAAATGTATTTCTCACAGTGCTGGAGGCTGGGAGGTCCACAATCAAGGCACCAGCAGATTCTGTGTCTGGTGAAGGCTCCTCATTGTATCCTCATGTGGTAGAGGGACCAAGGGAGCTTCCTTCAACCTCTTTTTTAGGGGCACTGATCTGATTCTTGAAGGCAGAGCCCTCATGGCTTAATCACTACCCACAAGGCCTATCACATTGGGTATTAGGTTTCAACATATGAATTTTGACTCCCTTGTGGGGTGTTTTCTTTTTCTTCAAGATAAACATTGTTCAGAGCTGCAAAAACAAAAAACATACGAATTTTGAGGGGACATGGGCATTCAGACCAATAGCAGTGGCCAACCATTCCAGGACTCAGGAAGTTTCCCTGGGATGCAGGTGTTTTAAGTGCTAAACTGGGATGGCTGGTCACCCTAAAAATAAGTCTCCTGTCTTCCTTTGGGTGCCTGGTTCTTCCAAGACTTCATCTAGAACTTCTTTGTGAAGCAAAATCTGAATCAGCCATGGGAAAGGAGCTCTCTAGAAGACCCCAGAAATATTCTACTCAATGCTTTTCCCAGAATAGGTGTATATTTTTGTTATGAGCGAGCAAAAATGTTAGGAGATCCCCTTCTTATTACAGGTGTGCTGATAGCCTCAGGTTCTGCTTTAACCTTTTATAAGAGAAATTCCATGAGTGCATCTGTTTATATGATAGGCCTAGCTTCATAGGAATATGAGAAACTTCTAAAGACCCCTTTTGTCCTAGAGTCACTGAAGAAGGATAACTCCAGAGGGATTTTAAGGGGATTCTTAATATAAAATACATTTTCTGGTGTCCTATTAAGAATATCACATAACAAATGATTTACATGTATAAAACTAAACCAGTAAACCCAGTGTGTAAACGGTCCTAGCTTTGACCTAATTGTCCTTTTGCCTCCACTGATAATCTTAAAATTCAGTAATGAATTACTCAGTCGAATATGAAAAATCAGTGAACTGTATGTTTGTAGATCCATGGGATTATATATATAAAATAACTCATCACTTACATTAAATTGTATTTTGATCTCCCTGATTATGGAAAATCAATAATTAGTAATTCTGGGAGGGAAAAAAATGTTACCTTTGGACATAGGAGTCATAAAAATTTTCAGCTGAACCACGTGCACCCTCAATGTCAACACTGAGCGATCATTTATGCATTTGCGTTTATGGAGCATGTATTTTTACATCAGAGGTCAGTGTCAGTATTGTCAATGATGTGCATGTTTAAGTTTGTCCCTCAGGAAGCTCTTCCTCTGCCAGACATGTCTCAAAACTGCAGCTGCCTCCAAGGCAGGACAGGGCACAAATGAATGAGTCACCCACCTGACCAGGTCGATGACCCGCTCTCTGGGTGCAGCACTGACCGGCTCATCGTTAATCATTACAATCTGATCTCCTGGGATCAGCTTGCCTTCCGACGGGCCTCCTGGAGACAAAGGAGAATGAAGTGCAGGTGAGAAGAGCATTAGTTTCCTATCAGTAGTCTCCTCTCCAGAACAGTGATTCATTATGAGCAAATGGAGCGATCAGCAGAAACAAAACCCAACCATACCTGCCTGTTCTTTGGGCAGGTTTGAGGCCCAGGCCGCACCCTTCCTGATTAAATCAGGTTTCCACATCTTTCTAAACTGTCACACTCCGCAGCCTAGAAGCACATGCATATGGATCGCCTGGGGTGAGGTAATGCACTTCTCCAGAGCTCCTAGGGCATGATACTGCTGTTGGTCAACAGAGCATACTTTGTGTGGTGGGACTCCTAGGAGAAGGTAGTCTTCCAACAGGCAGGCGACCAGTTGTGTTAATACCACCCGGGCACAGCTGGATTTGAACAAAGTTGCATTTATGTACTCGTTACAGGAAAGGAGGTAGCATGCTGTGGGCAACTAGGACAGCTCAATAAGAGGGTATTAGAAAGGACTAAATTCTAAGACTTGCCCTTGGGGTAGGTGCTTTTGGGGCCCCTTCCAGGAAGTGGGGGTTTTCAGTGGATTAGATATCAACAGGAAGTGGGATAATTCTATCACGAGCACCTTAGCAACTGCCTCAAAGATCAGAGGAAGGAGGCAGGGCAACATGTGATGGATAAGGCAACAGCAGTCACTCGTAGCAGCTGGAAGGGGTGTGCTTCGTTATTTCAGTGGTTTGGACTGTGCTCACAAGTGCTAATAGGCAAGTCTTGTTTTTGTCTAAATACATCATGATCACAAAGTGGCCTTGTCTGCTATTGTTATTGGGTGATTGTTTATGTTCAAAGGGACATCCAGACCCAGCTGCGAGGGCTCACCAGCTCCCAGATGTGAACAGCTGCTTGTCTCTTTGAGTAGTGTTTTCAGGGAGGGAGTACAAAACTATGTGGTGAGCAATTATTGCGTACCAGGCAATAGGCTAAATGCTTTGCCTAGTAACCTCACTAACAACTATGCCATAGGAGATAACTGAGGCTCACGCCAGTTAGAGAATTGGCTTGAAGGTAGAACTAGAATTCAGCTGAGATTCTTCCAAGTTCAGAATGGCCAACATGTCTTCTGCACTTGCCCCCCATAATTTAAAACCTGATCACTGCCAGGTCTCTTGACATATAAATTGTGTGAAGCACACATCTCTATTCAAATAAAACCTAAAACCAATTACCTGGACTGTGCTATAGATATGTACAATTACCTCCCAGATCAGGTGTCCTCAAACTGCGGCCCGCCGAGGACATTTATCTGGCCCACTGGGTGTTTTTGCCACTGCTGCCCATCCTGCTTAGCAGCCAACTCGTCCCAGGGCCCGCAGTCCAGCCCTCCAACGGTCTGAGGGACAGTGAACTGGCCCCCTGTTTAAAAAGTTTGAGGACTCCTATCCCAGATATTCATATGAGACTATAATATTGTTCTCTACTCACTCGCATCCTTGGCTTTGTGTCACTCAAGCTGTAGCATAAATTTGTCTTCTGGGGTAAACCTGAACACATCTCCGTATCAGTGATAGAAACTACTCATTTCACAGATATGGGAACTGAGATCTAGTGTTTGAACACATAAGGAATTCAGAAAAATCACTTGGAAAACTTACTGTAATTATTGAATTATGTGCAAGCCACCACTCAAAGTCAGCCAAACAAATGGTTAGAAATCAAGTGCTGGTCAACTACAGAAAATATTTCAAAGTAATTGTTTGGAGGATGTTAAGAATAATTGTTTAACATTATATTAACATAACATTTGTTTAACTATAACATTGCAAAGTAATTGTTTGGAGGATTATAACTATCTTATAAGAAAATCACTCTCAGATTAACAGGACATAGTCTACATTTGTTTTTGAACAAATAGAAATTGGTTAGAATATTTTGATTAATTATTGTTTAATCAAGAGTTCTGGAAGAAGCAAGGCACAGTCCCTTCCAAAATATGAAACAGTGCCACATTTTAGAGAATTGTCTTGTGTTTTTCACTCTGAAGACTGGATTGTCTATTATAGAAACTCTGGTCACGCCACTGAAACCCCTTGGGACTTCAGTAGAGTCACTTTTATGATAGACACAGTTTATTTGACCAATCTTTTCACTCATAAAAATAACTGGAAATAGTAGTCTTTGACCTCAGCATTCACTTTTTTCCCCACTCGTCTCAAAATTGTCTAACAGTAGGTGTTAGTGGCTTTGAAACTAAGGAGAATTGAGGGCAAAGAAGGGAAGAGGTCGAAAGCACAGTGAGATGTATAAGTAAATGAAAAATAACACTTGAATTTCCAGTCAGCTCTGGGGAGGACACGTACTTTGGAGAATCTCATAATTACAGATGTTAAAATACCCCAATATTATAAAACAGCATGCCAAATATGATTCTATTTTCGAAAAAATGTGTCTACTCACAGAGTACATTATATATGTGTGTCTGCAAAATTCTATGTCCACTACGGGTATTCTGTCTACGTAAGTAACGGCTAGCTCCTGGTCGTAGGAATTTAGGTGAGTTCTTTTTGACCTTTTCCTCTATACTATCTATGTTGTTTATATTTTGAACAAAGCACTTGTTATCACAAAAGGCAACACGTCTATTTTGAGAATAAAATTCTCCATTGTGTCAAGCGCAACAATCCCACATAAACAAAAAGTTCAGCCAGCAGAGTAAGAAGTTGCACAGTAGGACAATGGTGGGGACGAAAAGGACACGTTCTTCTCAGCACAAGTCTGAAAGGGTTCATTATGATAGACTCAACTGGCCAAATCTATTAGAATTTAATAATAATACCAATAAACATCAATGAAGTGATCAGGACGTGCCTGACACTCTTCTAACCTACTGCGTCCTCTCTGCTGGCTTGTAAGGCAGATGCTACCATGCTCCCCCTTACACAGAGGATAGAGGGAGGTGACATGGCGTGGACATGCATGAGAGTTAACATGGAAGTTACAGCACCTAACAAGGGGCAGAGGCAGGATTCAAACTCAGGCCGTCTGAGTCCAGAGTCTGCACTCTGAAGTGCCTACTTTACTACTGAGTGCTGTTACTGATTTGCAAAAGCCTGGAAAGAAACTGCATTTTGTCTGCAATCCCATACAAGTAGGTACATAAAAATATAGACTAGATGATATCAAGTACATTTCTGGGAAAGCAAAGACAGCCCGCTCCAGGTGATTCCCTTGTAGTCTACTATTGTATTTAACTGTGTTGCTAGTGAAACATCTGTATGGCCTACTATGCTAATTATCTGGTCATAGTGTAGAATTTAAGCAATTTGACAAGTACTATATCAGTCTGAGTTTGCTGTGTAATAAGCCATGCCCAAACTCAGTATGGTGATCAGTGATCATTTCTTCTCATGCTTATGGGTCTTCAGGGTGACCGTGAACTGGCTGAGTTAGGCCAGGCTCAGGGGGCAGTTCTGCTTCAAACTGCGGATGGGCTGCACTCAGCCCCCAGCTGCAGGCTGGCTTTTGCATGTGTTCACTCTGGGGCTCAGGAGGAAGGGCTAGCAGGCGCCTGGGAAAAACTCTGTTCTATGGCCATGGCAGAAACCCAGGAAACAAGCCCAACTGCACGGGCTCATCTCTGCTAATATGCCATTGGCCAAAGTCAGTCAGGTAGTCTGGCCCAACAGTACTGGGGTAGGGAATTGTACTCTCCCCTAGTGGGAGGGAAGTGCACGTTGTAAAAATAATGCAACCGCCCTGATGACTAAGTCCTACTGTAACTTAAACACTCCTTCCGGCTTTTCTTCCTTAAGGAATTCTTCATGAGCTTATTGTAATACAACACAGTGCCTGCCTCTTATTGTTTGCATTCATATGTTAAGAAGTGGGTCATTTCCATGGTTACAAATGATGGCTCAGTATTTCTTGAGTCAAGTGCTATGATGGATTTGGCAGTTGAAAACCCAGTCTGAGGAGCCATGTCTGTGTCTTTGGGGGTCTGACTCTATCCAGGAGTTACAAAAACTCAGCTAGCCTTAGAAGCCTGGGCACTTTCTGAAACTAACAACAGTCATTCTGGCAGGGTGTGGCAGGCAGTCCCCCAAGACCAAGGACTGGGGTTGGGTGCTTACCTGGTGTTACTGAGCGAACGACCACTGGCTTTTCACTCCCTGCCACAAAGCCAAATCCCAGCACTGGGTCCCTCCTCATCTCCACCTTCCGAGGAGCCGGAGGGATGATTTGGCAGCTCTCTAACCGAGGGTCGTCGAATGGGATTGCTTGTGTCATGTGACTGTGGAAAAAGCACACACCAGAGAAACGAGGCATCAATGAGTGTGTTAGGCACTGGCCTGGCGATCACATCCTCTCCAGTTTCAAACCTATTCTCAGGTGGAGAGTAGGGAGGCTCCGGGGAGACCCACAGTCATGCTTCTGCTTTAGGCCTTTGCATTGCCTGTTCCTCCAACCCAGAATGCTTATCCTGCAGCTATCTGCCTGGCTCACCCTCACCTCTCTCAAGGTTTTAACCATCTTAAAGAGGACTATCCTGGCCATATATCTAAAAATTGCAGCCCTACTCCCCACCCCCTCTCCCCTTTACCCACGTGTCTCCTTTTTTTCTACCTACAGCACTAATCATCTGCTCTTCAGCCTACTGAACTTGAAGACACTAAGGATGAAGACCTTTATGAGGATCCACTTCCACTTACTGAAAAGTAAATACACCTTCTCTTCATTATAATCTTCCAATAATATTTTGTTTTCTCTAGTTAATACAGTATATAATACATATAAATATACAAAACATGTGCAAATCAGCCTACTAAGAGGAAGACTATTAGTAGTTAGATTCTGGGGGTGTCAAGCCCTATACAGATTTATGATCATGTTAGTGATTAGTACCCCAAATTCTTGTGCTGTTCAAGGGTCAGTTGTATACTTATTTATCTCAGGTACTTAGGAACAGTGTCTGGTATATAGTATATTCTTAATTAGAACTTGAATTAATACTTGAGTAGAGAAAAAGATGTTTCTTTATGGAAAACTGTCAAGTTACAACTGATATGCTGAGAAGCAGCCTCAGAAGGTTGTAGACATTTTGAAGGTAACATTTAGGGCTTCTAGCCCCAGTTAAGTTGAAATAATTATTTTGGTGCCAAATACTTCCCCCTCTAAAGAAGATGAGAACTTAGCTCTTGGCATTTATTTCCTAGAAAGATTTTCCAACGATTTAAATGAATCTTTTCATTCATACCTAAACTTCAGAACTCTTCTCAATAATCCTACTTTGAAATTTGTGAAATGCTTCCAAAATATATCTCATTTGATCCAAAAATGATGTTGAGAATGAGAGCACAGAGCTGGTATTATTATCTGAATTTCCCCGGTAAGGAAACTGAGATTAAAATAGTGGCTTATAGGCACTTGGATTCTGTGGGGGTATGCCAGAGGACAGACACCCACTCCCACACTCTGAGGGAAGTTTCCACCCACTCTCCAAGGCAGCCTCCTTTGGGGGAGGAGTTGTGAGTTTGAGCACTAGAAATCTCTTTAAAGTAATATAAGCTAAGATTATTTCAGTGACATGAGTTTAATTCAATTTTTTATCTCTCTAATCTTATTTGATAAGTCAAGAAGATCATTTTAAAATACCTTGGAAGATGCTACTCCATATGCCATCTGGACAACATATTGTTCAAATGTAATAAAGGAAGAGAAAGGAGGAATTCAATTGTCCTGTGTAATTAATAAGAATTAGGTAAGATCAATAGAAACCCTCTAGGATCTGTTCTTTAAGCATAACTCACTGTCTAGGAAAAGGAAAGTTTAAAATTCTTTTTAAACAGAAAGGAAGTATCTTTTTTTTTATTTAGCTGCTGTGATCTGGAACACTAGGAAAAAGAGGTGTCCCGTGCTAACACTCAACTGTCACCTTATGATGGAGACCCCACCTATCCCCTCTTTGCAAATGCTAGGAGAGGAAAAACTGGGCCGAGGTCACACTCTTCTCAGGTATAAGGTGCAATCCAGACCAGGTCTTCTGATTTGAAGTGTGCTGCACGAGCCGGCTACATCGTTTGTAGTGACAGTGCAAAAGGAAAATGTGGGGCCTCTCATTCAAATATGATTAAGAATTTTCAAGACAGTGGAACATTAAATTCAGTTCAGGTCCCTGTGTCATTGCCTGGTCGCATGCCCACCTCCCACCATCATTCTAGAAAATTCCAGGCTGAGAGTGGTGGTAGTTGTAGGGTCAAAGGGGAGGGCATGTTTTATGTGAGTTTGCAGGTGTTTGTCTTGACCCAGAGACAAGACACAGCTTCCATGGTCGGGATGGATGAAGAGAAGTAGGAAGAACTCAGGTACACAGGAGATCACAGGAAGTGGCCTGGCAGTCAGATGACAGAATTCAAGACCCTGAGTGAACCAGCAAAACCACTACTGAGTAAGCCGCAGGGAGGGTCAGAGACACAGGGAGGAAGTGGGGAAGCCAGGGCTGAAAACTAGGATCTCAGTAGGACCTCTGATACTCCCATAGTGGTCCCAATTGGAGAGGAACTTGACCTCCTGACATTGATCCCTCCCACACCTGAAATAGGTATGGCTGGGGGGACTGAGCCCACCTAGGCATTGGACTCTGGGTCTCTGGTCTCCTAAGAAATCACCATTTCAGAGCAGGCCATTCTTGGTTCTTGAGCTACATCTGCAAACAGTTCTCTCCTTTTATCTCCAGATGAAGTAACAGAAAGAGAGAAGGAAGAAAGGGCAGGGGATGAAGGGAGGGAGAGGAAAACAGAACATTTTTGGAAGCTGGACTGTAAGTTCTGCGTTTTCACCATCTTGCACAGCAGACATCTCAATGAGGAAGGTAAAGCTTGTTGAAGCTAAGTGACTTGCTAAGGGTCACACACGTTACAGGACTGAGGTTGACTTAACTCTCAATTCCAAGCACAGAGAGGGGCTGAGGAAGGCTTTTCATCCTGCTGTTGCCAGTTGTGTGAAAAGCCTAAGGCAGTAATTCTCAAACTTCCTTGCACGTTAAAATCACCTGGGGAGCTATAGAAACAACCTAATGCCCGGGTTACACTGCAGACCAATCAGGTTGGAATATCTTGGGCTGGGACCCAGCATAAACTTTTAAAAGATTTCTAAGTGATTCCAAAGTTCAATAAGGTTTGACAATCACTTAGCCGTACAGAGAAGGGTGGGGTACAGCGTGCTTTCTGGACAATAGACAAAGAGGACATGCAGATGTCCCTGATCGTCTCCTCTGCCACCCATTGCGCATGTGCATTAAAATACTTCAAACCTCCGTAGCGTGATTATCCTCTTTCCACTACATGATGAAGTAATGGTATCTAATTTTTCAATGCTTCATTCAACAACTATTATTTTATTAGTACCTAACACTTATTAAACACTAATTTCATGCTAAGCTTTGTTTGTTGTAAATGGTTCCCATATGCTAGTTCACTTAATTCTCCGAAACCACTCCGTAATGCACTCATTTGTTCATTTAGTCAATTTGTTAAACACCCACTGGATTCTCGGTTCTGGGACTACACTAGGGAAGAAAGTAGACGAAAAATAAAATGTTCACTCTAGTGTTCAGAGGCAGAGAATCCACTAAGAAATTAGTAAAATAAACTGAATATCAGGTCATTATCAACACTAAGTGAGAAAATAATGCAGAGAGGAAGGATGGGGGGGGGATATGTCTAACGCAGGAGCCACCAGATGCAAAGGTCCTGGGGCAGGAATGTCCCAGAGGCCAGTGGGGGGGGCTGGAAGCAGGGAGGGCGGTAATAAAGAAGTGATGGGGAGGGTGACGATTACACAGGCTCTTGGAAGGACTGAATGGAAGTGATGAGAACATCCGGGGGAGGGGGTCATGGGTAGAAGCAGGGCCCACTGCACCAAGCAGAAGACAGAAGATTATGATGGCCTGGACCAGGGTGAGAGTGGCAGATGTCACAGAAAGTGTTGGGCTTTTAATATACTTGGAAGCTGCTCTGACAGAGCGGGGTGGGACTCTTACTCCAGAGCCGCCTTCCTGCACACACCAGATGTTCCCAGCGAGGACGGACCTATGAGTATGTTTCCTAACACGAGCCCCATGTCCTGATGTATCCACGTGGCAGTGTTTTCCCTTTAGAAAGATAGTACTCTTTGGTTTGTATACGAAACAAATGCTCAGGTAGAATGTGAACATGAGAAGTGATACAGTTGTGTAATATGAGGCTTTGGAGCCAGACCGCATGTATTTGAGTCCTAGGCACACTCTCCCCCTGCCCTCCGCCACTTCCTAGTGATGTGACCTGTGCACATTACTTCATTATCACTTGGTGCTTCTGTTTCTTCATCTGCAAAATGACGATAATGATAGTAACACCTTTATAAGATAGTTATGAAAACTGAGTGATTAAATGCAAAGCACTTAGCAAAGTGTTTGACACATAGTAAGCACTCGAAAGTATTAGCTGTTATTTTCATCTCTGGAGATCAATGAATAGACAGGAATAGATTTCAGACATTATGAACTCATTCTATTTTAAAATACAAAAATAGGCCAGGTGAGGTAGCTCACACCTGTAATCCTAGCACTCTTGGAAGGCAAGATGGGAGGATTACCTGAGCTCAGGAGTTCAAGACCAGCCTGGGAAAGAGTGAGACCCCCTGTCTCTACTGAAAATAGAAAAAAATTAGCTGCTGTTGTGGCAGGTGCCTGTAGTCCCAGCTACCCAGGAGGCTGAGGCAAAAGGATCACCTGAGTCCAGGAGTTTGAAGTTGCTGTGACTTAGGATGATGCTATGGCACTCTACTCAGGGCAACAGAGTGACACTCTGTCTCCAAACCCACCCCCCCCCAGACAAAAAATAAACCCACCAATGTTTTAAATACCTACAGCTCAACATTCTTGGCAAAAGGTATTACAAAGCCTAGGTAAGCTCTGAGGCCTTCTCGAACAATCCTATCCTATCAAATACAATGACACAATAAATACAAATATACGCTGATATACACAAGGCAATATTGTACCAGAGCCCAAAAGAATAAAAGAGGGTAGGAGAAAAATCCAGGCGCTCTACTGACTGTGAACCACTGTGAATAAGTTTTCCTCGGCCATGTTTCTAGACCCTTGAGTGAACAATGGGTACAGGGCTGGGGAGAAAACCTGAGTCTTGAGGAAAATGAGGAGCACTGACGATTGTGTTCTACAGGTTGGAATGAGACAGACATAGGCCCTTTCACCTCAGATGCCGCCACCCTGTGTCGACAGAAAGTCTTACA